AGTAGCTGGGACCACAGGCACCCGCCACAACGCTTGGCTTTGTTTTTTTTTGGTGGCAGCCATCATTGTTCTTTGGTGGCTCGGGCTAGATTCAAACCCGCCACCTTAGGTGTATGTGGCTGGCGCCTTAGCCACTTGAGCCACAGGCACCAAACCCCTCTTTTCTTTTTTTGAGACAGAGTTTTACTATGTCCCCCTAGGTAGCATGCCATGGTGTCATAGCTCACAGCAAACTCAATATCTTGGGCTTAAGCGATTCTCTTGCCTCAGCTTCCCAAGGAGCTGGGATGACAGGCGCCCAACCACAATGCCCAGCTATTTTTTGTTGTAGTTGTCACTGTTGTTTAGCAAGCCTGGGCTGGGTTTGAACCCACCAGCCCCAGTATATGTGCCAGCGCCCTAACCAATTAGCTGCAGGTGCCCAGTCCACCGAGCTTCATTTGTTTTCAATGAGGTATTTTTTTTTATCTATCATTGTGGGTGTACATTTTATATTTTAACTAAACACTAAGCTCCATAAAGACAAAATAGATTCTGCTTACACAGTATTTCTTTTGGATTCTTTCATAGGAATCCATACTTTTTTCACATGTAATTGGTTTTTTCATATTTAACTTAATATGGAAAATTTCAAGCATTTACACAAATAAAATTTAAAAAATGAACACCATGTATCATCACCTAGCCTTGACAACAATCAACTAATGACCAATCTGTTTCATCCATACCCACTCCTACCCGGGTTTTTTTTTCTATTGCTGGGGATTCACTGAGGGTATAACCAGGTTATAAAGTCCCTCTTATAATTGTGTCCCATCCCCAAAAGGTGTGTCACACACCGTGACCCCCCCCCAGATTATTTTAAAACAAATCCCAGGGTGGCACCTGTGGCACAGGAGTAGCGCACCGGCCCCATATATCAGAGGTGTCAGGTTCAAACCCGGCCCTGGCCAAAAAACTGCAACAACAACAACAACAACAACAACAAAAATCCCAATCATCATATCGTTTCATCTATACACATTTTAACTATATCCTTAAAAGACAGCAACTTTATTATAACCACGAAACCATTATTACTGCTAAAGAAAGAATACTTTCCTTAATATCATCTAATAAATGATGTTCTAATTTGCCTCATCATCTCATAAAAATTATTATTATTATTTTGAGACAGAGTCTCACTGTGTCACCCTAAGTAGAGTGACATGGCGTCATAGCTCACAGCAACCTTAAACTCTTGGGCTTAAGCAATTCTTTTACCTCAGCCTCCCAAGTAGTTGGGATTATAGGTGCCCACCACAACACCCAGGTATTTTTTTGTTGCAGTTGTCATTGTTGCTTAGCAGGCCTGGGCTGGGTTTAAACCCACCAGCCTGGGTGTATGTGGCCAGCATCCTACCCACTGATCTACGGGTGCCACCACAGAAATTATTTTTAATAGTTAAATTTATTTAAATCAGGACTCAAACAAGATTCACAGATTGCAGTTTGCAGATATGTCTCAAATTTCTTTTAATCTATACTTTGCCCTTACTTTATTACCACTTTGTCATTTACTTTAAAAATTAGATCATTTGGCTCGGCACCTATAGCTCAACCGGCTAAGGTGCCAGCCACGTACACCTAAGGTGGCGGATTCGAATCCCCAGCCCAGACCCGCCAAACAACG